TAAATACAAAACCTACTAATCTCTCTTCCGCAAAAATATTAATGTAACATTTTTTCAATTTTAGTTACAAATATTTATGTATTAAATATAAATAAAATGATTCAAAATAAAATGCTCATAAAGAGTCAATACTTTACACATGTAATGGATGAAAGTCATAAATAATTAATACTTTATGGGCCATTTCTTTTTTTTAATATTTAATTTATATTAAAAAAATAACCTACCGATTTACTTTTTGCAAGAATATTACTGTAACACTTTTTGAATTTTACTTACAAACATTGATAAGAATGGACAAATATCTTTAGTGATAAAGAGGAGTAGATTTCAAGTTAGGGATAGAAATTCGGTAAGAAGCAAGAACCGATTGGACAGCGACAAAGAGCAGTGGGTATTCTGCTGGAACAGAGATCATTGAGTGGAAGGATATTCCCATGGAGTTGTTGTTGGGGATTGTTTCACTTGTTGATGATGATAGGATTGTGATTCTAGCTTCTGGGGTTTGTAGTGGTTGGAGGGATGCCATTTCTTGTGGTCTCATCCATCTCAAACTTTCAAATATGTTATTTTAATTTTTCGTAAATTTGTTTAAATATGAAAAATTAGTTAAATAGCGCATTAAATACAAAACTTACTAGTTTCCCATAAAGAGCTGGTATGTTATGAGCAATTTCAATTTTTTTTTTAACTTTCACATATTTAATTTATGTTAAATACAAAACATACTAGTTTTCCTTTGGACGCTATTTAATCAATTTTTTTCCATAAAGAACTGGCATGTTTCCCATAAAGAGTTGGTACAAAACATACTACAAAACCTGCCAGTTTCCCATAAAGAACTGGTATGTTATGCGCTATTTAATAAAGAGCCATGGCTTGTTGTATGTGTAATTCTTTTGTTTTATAAGAATTGTTATATCAAGGGTAATTTTGAAATTTAATTACATTTAATTCCGAAATACTCATCAAACCAAGTATCAGAAATTGGAATGATGCTAATTCCAATGTGTGAACCAAGCTAGATATTGGAATGAAATAACTCTAAAACCAGAATCTATGATTCCATTTTCATTTCCGATTTCAATCTGTGAAACAGGTACCCCCTTAATATTTACGCTCAAATACAGATTTGTATTTACTCTCAAATATTTAATTTTTGTTAAATACAAAACCTATCAATCTCTCTTCCTTAAAAATATTAATGTAACACTTTTTTAATTTTAGTTACAAACATTTATGTATTTAATATAAATAAAATGATTCAAAATAAAATATCCATAAAGAGCCAATACTTTACTCATGTAATGGATGAAAACCATAAATAATTAATACTTTATGGATCATTTTTTTAATATTTAATTTATATTAAGTAGATAACCTACCGATTTCCTTTTTGCAAGAATATTACTGTAACACTTTTTGAATTTTACTTACAAACATTGATATATTTATCATAAATTAAATGTTTGAAAGTAAAATACACGTAAAGAGTTGGTATTTTAAATAGATAATGCGTATTTGCCTATAGACTACACTTTTTAAAGTTTATTAATTATTAATTGATTTGTAGCACTTTGTCATTCATTAGACATGTAGCACAAAGGGCAAATTTGGTACAAAATTCTAATTTCACTTTCTAAAACAATATTTTAATCATTTGGACTGAATTTACAAAGGATTAGTAACCTCAGGGGAGATCAGTATAATTTTTCAAACCACAGGGGAGGTCAGTGCAAATGTCAGCAACCTCAAAGGAGGTTTCTGCAATTATCCCTAAATATAATGGGCGTAGGAATAAAAGACCGAAGAGGAAGCATAAGCAGTACTAAACACAGTCATGCAGGTGGTATTTAACATAAATTGATTTTTGTGAAAGTAAAAAACATATTGCCCATAACATACCAGGTCTTTATGGATTTTTTGCATTACATCAATAAAATACTAGTTATTGATGGGTATTTTACTCTGAATCATTACATTTATGTAAAATACATAAGTGTTTGTAACTAAAATTGAAAAAGTGTTACACTAATATTTTTACAAAAGAGAAACTGGTAGATTTTGTATTTAACAAATTTTAAAGATGTGAAAGTAAAAAAGATTGCCTATAACATACCAGCTCTTTATGGATTTTTTGCATTACATCAACAAAATACTAGTTATTTATGGGCATTTTATTCTGAATCATTACATTTATGTAAAATACATAAATGTTTGTAACTAAAATTGAAAAAGTGTTACACTTATATTTTTAGGAAAGGAAAACTGGTAAATTTTGTATTTAACAAATTTAAAATATGTGAAAGTAAAAAAGCTTGCGCCCATAACATACCAGCTCTTTATGGGTTTTTTGCATTACATCAACAAAATACTAGTTATTTATAAGCATTATACTCTGAATCATTACATTTATGTAAAATACATAAATGTTTGTAATTAAAATTGAAAAAGTGTTACACTTATATTTTTACGAAAGGGAAACTGATAGATTTTGTATTTAACAAATTTTAAATATGTGAAAGTAAAAAAGATTGCGCCCATAACAAACCAGCTCTTTATGGGTTTTTTGCATTATATCAACAAAATACTAGTTATTTATGGGCATTTTACTCTGAACCATTACATTTATGTAAAATACATAAATATTTGTAACTAAAATTGAAAAAGTGTTACACTTATATTATTTTGAAAGGGAAACTAGTAGATTTTGTATTTAACATAAATTAAATATGTTAAAGCAACATCACAGGTGATTTTATTAGTTACTTAATTTGTTGACAATAAACAAGGTTTCTTTTGCAAAATTTGGGGGGATTTGAAAGCGTAAATACACTACTACATCATATTACCTGATACCCAACGACTCTTCAAGTTTCAGGTCACAAATACCTTTACACGTATCCATCCAAGACACATTCCCTATCATCTGTGGCCACAATCACTTGCTTCTTCTTTTCCTCTACCTTTCCATACCTCTTTTTTTGACAAATAAATATATCGCAGCAACGTGGCTAATTCCTTAAAATAAAAAAAAACAATCCGCCAAATGTACCTCTGACACGGGATGTTTTTCATTTTATACGTGCCATACTGACTCAGCACGACTGCATAATTAAAATCCCTCCCCGGGCTAACCACACTGGCAGACAGTCTGCAAAAATGGCAGACGCCTGCAAAATTTTCAGTGCGGAGGAGGTCAGTCGCAGCCGTGCTGACTGGGCACGGCTGCGGCTGACACAAAGCCTGTTGGAGAAGAATCCCTCGCACTAAGTTGAATTGGCAACTGGTTTCGGACTTATATCGCTTTAGTTGGTAACTGTTCTTTTGTGTCGCTTTAGTTGGTAATTGTTCTTTTGTGTCTTGTACATTGGTAGGGATACACTAGTGTCATTGGAATGTTAAATTCCTGCTGTATAAAAAATAATAATAATAATAAAGATCCTCTGTTATTGGTGAAGGGCCATTGTATTCTCTTATTGGCAAATAGTCATTTGAACCACTTTCAGTGAGCTCTATATGATTGGTGTTATTCGATAAAAGAAAATTTGATTTTTTTATTCACCAAGGTCAACATCCATTTACCGTCCAAATTTTTATTTGGTAATTGAATATTGGCAACTGGAGTTTTCTAATATATATTAGTTAAGTATATGTAATATGTAATTAATAATATAAAAGTTATTAATGTGTTAATATGTCACTAACTAACATCATATACATTTGTCCATTAGCATAAATTATAACTTATAAATTATTTAATTAAAATATCAAATTTGGTAATTCGATCGGTAATCGGAAATCAAATTTCAATATTCATTCCCAAACTTACCAAATTTTAAAATTGAATTTCTGAATTCAGTTTTATAGATATTGACTTCCGATCTAAATTGGATCAAAGTGTGAACATTCCGGTCTTTAGCACTTTGTACTTTTGGCGTATGCTATCTAGTACAAATGAAAATTATGAAGAAACTCCTGCAGTTGAAGTATTTCAATAAACAGTAATGGAAAGCTTGTATAAGGTTATATACAAGAATTGTAGGAAAGGGAAATCTACTCAAGAAATTAAAGTCTTAACGTTCATTGATTTCACAATCAACAGATTATGATGGTTCATGTTCCGAAATTATTCTAGAGAAATGATATACCTGTGTTTTCGGTTAAAATTTTCTTCTCTTTTATTTTCTCATTTTCCTTTGTTTCTTTGGGAACACACACTTCATCATGTTCTATGTAGGGTTCAAGCTGTTTTCGGTTCAATGGCTTCACCGTGATACGTATGACTTTGGCTCATGATACAAGATAATGAAAGAAAACGATATACGTCATTGATTCTTGTTTTGTTTCCACTCTTTTCGAAACATCATCTTAAATTATAAATTGAGATTGAACAATGAACGAGGGGCGAAAAAGACGTATGATTGATAAAGAAACATCTGCTTCACTTCTTCATTATTGCTACAGTAATAAGTTCCACACCGATACAAAAGACTTAAAATTTGCAAGAAACATTTTCTTATGCTATGTTTCCACCATGGTGGCGAGGAGTTTGTGTCAGCTGCAGCCCTGCTGACTGGGCACAGCTGCGGCGGATGAACAGGCTTTGTGTCAGCAGCCTTGCCCAGTCAGCACAGCTGCGACTGACCTCCTCTCACTGAAAATTTTGCAGACGTCTGTCAGTGTGGTTGGTCGGGAGGAGGGATTTTAATTATGGCTGAGTTAGCAATGCACGTATAAAATAAGAAACATTCTGTGTCAGGGTGCATTTGGTGGGTTGTTTTTTTTTTTTTTTTTTTTTTTACATATATTTTAAGGAATTAGCCCAGCAACGTCCAGCAAAATTGCAAACGGAAGAAGATTTATTGACTTTCTGGTTCATTTCATTGAACTATCTTTCTACCCCACATCTACAGTCCATTGTTGTACCGCATAGTGCATACCGCGTAAAAAGAAATGGTAAACATTGCCCTCTTTTTCTTCTTCTTCGTCCACTCCTAAATGGACTTGCGAAGTTTTATTGAGCAAGAAATGAGAAACATTGCCTCTTCTTCTTCTTCTTCTTCTGCTTTTACTCCTAAATGGACTTATGATGTTTTCTTGAGCTTTAGGGGTGAAGATGTCCGAAAGAGCTTTGTCGACTTCCTCTACAGTGCTCTGCAACAAAAGGGAATTTACACCTTCAAAGACGATGAAAAGCTTGAAAGAGGAAGATCCATTTCACCTGCACTACTCCAAGCTATTAAAGAGTCAAGAATTGCAGTTATAATATTCTCAGAAAACTATGCCACTTCTTCATGGTGTTTAGATGAGCTCGCAGAGATCATTGACTGCAAACATGTGTTGGGACAAACTGTTCTGCCGGTTTTTTATTACGTGGATCCATCTGTGGTACGGAGACAGAAAGGCAGCTTTGATCGAGCTTTTGTCAAACATGACGAAATAGAGGACAAGGAAAGGATTCAAAAGTGGAGAGCAGCTCTGACTGAAGCTGCTTCTATCTCTGGCTGGGATGTTCCCAACACTGCTGATGGGTAAATTCACTGACTCTGATCTTTAAAAATATGAACTAGCATCCCTTCTTTTTGGGCAAATAGTTGGCCATTCGGTTAAGTATCATTTTTGAATTGTAATAAGCTGTTAGCTTCTCTCTCTTTCGGGTATTTGTTTTCCTATGGGTCATCGATCCTTTTCTTGGTGCGGTACTCTATCAATTTGGCGGTTTTAGGAGGATTGTTAATGATCTTGGCTAAAAGAAATTAGATCTGAGGTTGACTTGACCAATCCCATGACACCAATCCTGGTACTGAAGTACCAATCAAGCACCTCTGAGGTTATTTGTAATTTATTTCTTGACTGTTTTCCTCTAGTACTCAGTTTTCTTGGAGGGCAGAAAAAAGGATTCTGAACCATTAACTGATAAATAACTACATTGATTTCTCTATCAAAGCAATGTGTTATTCAAAGAAAGACAAAATTATACAGAGAATTCAGTAATAAAGAATAGTGACGACCACACAAAAATGTTTGGTAACTTGTCTTTTCAATTAGTTTTAGAAGGCCCATTGATTCCTGAGTTTATTCTAAGAAGGATCCTTCATTACATGCTTGCAATCCAATTATTGACTTCATGTCATTTCTTTCTGATTAGATGCGTATAAGATTATGAAACAGAAATGAAGAAATAACAAATTCCGACCTTAACTTTTTCTGTACTTTCATTGATGTCTGCATTCCTATGAGGAGTTGTTAGTACACAAAAGAAGATAAGTAGCAACCAGGTGACTCAAGTCCTGTTATCATATCATGTCAAACTTAGGATTCAAATAAATCGAATCCTTCTCATTTAACTACATGAAATTGTTTTTAAGAACTTAGTAAGTCACCCATAGTGAATAACAAGAACATATTTGACCACTAAACCAGTCCATAATGAATAAGTCAAAAACTATTGGTTTCTATCAGTACATATATGTTGTCTTTGTGAATGTTTCTTTCCCATGAGTTCTCACTTTTGGAAAGGTTTTATCCATGCTATCATTTCTTCTGCATTTGACATGTTTCCCACACATTTTTTTGATTAGTCTTCCTTTCTGAAATTTCGTCTTGTCACCTCTTCTCATTTGGCAATTGTTTTTCCTCCCCCAACCCACCAAAAAAAAAAAAAAAAAAAAATCAAATCTGTATTTCCTTTGTTGCAGTTCTGTTACTTTAATACCACCCTTAGTAGTCTTTGTCTCGATGATATGTGTCCATATGTTTATCAATTTCCCGAGGAACATACTTTTCTGCTTTCCATGTACTGCTATTTTACTAGTAACATCCTCAATACTTGTGGTTCCGAGGCCAACATATTGTATCAAAACTCCAATATTGAGAACATAGAGGTGAAGACAGACAATGATGTTGTTCAGTACTGCAGCATATATCCCATTGAAGTATCTAAATATCATATTGAGGCATCTGTTTTGTAGAAGCATTTATTAGTGTTTTTTTCAAAATTAGCATTTGTTAGATCTATCTATTTTGAGAATATGGTTAACAAATGCATCTCCTCGTGCATGATTTTTCTTACCTTTTATTTTTCTTTTTTCATGGATAGGCATGAGTCTAAATGCATCCAAGAAATTGTTGAATATGTTGTGGCTAAATTGGAGAGAGTTGACGCAATTGAAGCAAAAAACCAAGTTGGTATTGATTCTCGAGTTCAGAAAGTAAATGCATTGCTGAATTTGGGGTCTGGTAAGGTTCAGTTTATAGGGATTTGGGGAATGAGTGGAATAGGTAAAACAACCATAGCAAGGGCTGTTTTTGACCGAATATCCACTCATTTTGAAGGTGCCATCTTTCTCGAAGATGTCAGAAAACAATCAGAAAGTCTGAAAAATTTGCAAGAGGAGACTCTTTCAAAAACCATTTGCTTGAAAGATTTGAGGATCAGCAGTGTTTTTGGAGGGTCAAATATGATTCGGAGAAGACTATGCAATACAAAAGTCCTTATTGTTCTTGATGATGTTGACTGCCTAGATCAATTAGAAGCTTTAGCTGGAAAACATGATTGGTTCGGTGCTGGTAGTAGAATTATCATAACCACAAAAGATAAGCATTTGCTTGTTACACATGGAGTAGATGAAATTCACGAGGTGGAGTTGTTGAATCAATCTGAAGCTATTCAGCTGTTTAGTTGGCATGCTTTTAAGAAGGACTATCCTGCAAAAGGTTATGAGGAGCTCTCGAAAAAAATAGTGCATTCTGCTGGTTGCCTTCCCTTAGCTCTAAAGGTTTTAGGTAGCTTTCTGTATGGCAGAGAGATGGCTGAATGGAGAAGTGAAGTGGAAAGGTTAAAAAGAATTCCAGAAGATGAAATTATTGAAAAGCTCAAAGTAAGTTTTAATGGACTCAGAGAAGTTGAAAAAGAAATTTTCTTGGACATTGCGTGTTTCTTTGAAGGGAAGAAGAAAGAATACATAAGAAGAGTACTTGATAGTTTCGATTTCTATCCTGATATAGGCATAAAGGTTCTCATCGAGAAATCTCTGGTAACCGTTTTTGGAGGAAGGATTCTGATGCATTGTTTAATACAAGAAATGGGTTGGCATATTGTTCGCCAAAAGGCTCCAGATGAGCCAGGAAAACACAGCAGGCTCTGGGTAGCAGAGGAAATTTGTGACGTTTTGGCTAGAGACAAGGTTAGCAATCTTCCACCTCTAAGTTAATTTCATTCCACCTATAAGAATATTCCAATTATATATTTCTCGAATATTTTGTTTATGCAATTTCTCCTTTTCTTCTTCTCCTTGTAACCTGTTTCCTGGCAGGCGACAGAAAATATTGTGGGCATGTGGCTGGACTTGCCTACCCCACAAGATGTTGTAATTAAGAATGAAGCCTTTGAAAAGATGAAGAAACTAAGGCTACTCAAAATCAATAATGCTTGTGTTTCTCACTGCCCGAATTGCATACCGAATGGGATACGGTGGCTTGACTGGCATGGATACCCTTCAAAATCCCTTCCACAGAGTTTCCAAGCTGAAAAGCTCGTAGGACTCAACCTACAGTATAGCCGCATCATACATCTATGGAAAGGGATAAAGGTACCATCATGAACTCCGATTTATTCTTGTTTCCTAATGAATCTTGCTTGAACCTATATGATGTCTTTTTCTTCCCCTTTCTTTCTGTCATTTTCTTCATTTTGCCAAAAAAACTTTTGACAGTCGCTGGACAAATTGAAATACATCGACCTGAGCTATTCCCAGAAGTTAATAAGAATGCCAGACTTCACAGGGATACCAAATCTTGAGAGATTGATCCTTGAAGGCTGTTCAAGTCTCGCAAGTCTGCCAAGCAGCCTTTGCAGATTGAAATGTCTTGAAGCTCTTATTCTTTCTGGCTGCTCAAAACTTGACGAGTTACCAGAAGAGCTAGGACATGCACTGAGCTTAAAAGAGCTTTATGTTGATGGAACTGCCATCTCCAAGCCACCATCCTCTATCGTACATTTGAAAAACCTAAAAACATTGTCTTTCAGAGGATGTAAAGCAATGGCATCTCGTATATGGAGAGCATTCTTGCCCTCTTGGTTGCTGGGTCAAAAAAGTCAAGTTTCAACTGGCTTGGTTTTTCCATCTGTTTCAGGATTAAACTCCCTAGCAAAACTAGATCTTAGTGATTGCAATCTGTCAGACAAAGAATTACCCTGTGATTTAGGGAGCTTATCCTCCCTAGTAGAATTAAATCTTGGCAAGAACAACTTTACTAGTATCTCTGCCGCAAGTATCAAGAACCTCAGTCGCCTTCGAATCCTTGAATTAGTTGGCTGCAAGAGACTTGAGATACTTCCAGAGCTTCCACCTTGTATAGAAGAAGTGTATGCAGATAATTGTACATCATTGCAGAGTGCAACTGATTTGACAAAGCATGGGTTGTTACACAGGGTTTCATTCAGTAATTGTTTTAAGCTGCTTCAGGATGAACGAACTTCCAGCATGATATATGCAACTTGGAACCACATGCTAAAGGTATTTTCTTTTTTACAATATACATACAACTCCCGGCGCCCAAAAAACTTTTTGAGACGGAGGGACTACTAGTTTAGATGTGCTTCACAAACTAAAACTTCTTGTTTAGTTACTGAGAGAGAGGCCTAATTTCTTGCTGTGTAGAAATTTTCACTTGTAGAAGGTGGTAGCTTTAGCATCTGTCTTCCTGGAGGGAGCATTCCATCCTGGTTCACCTACCAGAATTCAGGGCCTTCAATAACAATTGAGCTTCCTCCAAATTGGTACAACAATGAGTTCATGGGATTCGCAGTTTGTGTTGTTTCTGATTTGATAAGGACCCCATTTTTGTTGGAATTACAATGGCGTGAGCTTCTACAGAAAATTCCAGGTTTTCCTGTCCAGTTTACTCTCATAGATAAGGAGATGAATCGCTTTTGCTACGTATTCACCATGGCTTTTGTGGGGGCCGAAAACAACATTGATTCAGAACATACTTGTCTAGGATATCTTCCATTTGATAATATTTTGGATGCGCTTGCGTTTACAAGACGGCGTAATGGGTCTTTGCTACATTTGTGGCCAAATAGCTTACGCAGCCCAAATGATTGGACTTGCATTGAGGCGTCTGCTCAAGCTGATGTTAAGGAATGTTTGGCTTTCAAAGAATGGGGAATCAGTCTTGTATACGAGAACGATGTCAGGCAGAATTCCGAACTTTTGATGGTCCCACAAAGCTCTGAGTTGGGAGAAAGGAGATTCTCATCCAATGTGATTGTCAATAGACTGAAATCCAGCAGGAGGAGAAGAGGCCTTGAAGCTTTGCCAGGTTTTCCATCAGAATTGATTCAGATCGGGGACCCCTCAGTTCAGATGCCCGCCCGCGTTGATGCTGTCCATGTATTTCCCACAGTAGCGACTGATCTTCCTAGCCTAGTGTCTGATGTACATCGCGTAGGTGGAAGCATTGGAGGATGCGATACTATAACAACAAGAACAGGTAGCTGCTATAGTTATTATTATTAGTATTAATTACGTCAACAAGATCATCATTGTGTCTAGAAGTCTGCAAATGTTATTTGTTTCCATTTTAGTGTATAAATATGCATATCACAATTAATAAACAAATGTTAAGCGGGGCTATTGTAATCAAACTATTATCAATTTTATAAAAATAAACTCGCTTCTGTCTTCGGAAGTGTTCGGAGCCCAAATAGCGTACGGAGCCCAAATTTCCATTATTACTGCCCTCGTCAGCCTGCACTTTACTTTTACTCCACTTACTATTACTATTACGACCGTTCGGGTGTCCACTGTGGAGCCCCCTCTTAAACGACTACGCATTGCTACTATTCTCCTAGTAAGTAGCTGACGACATCTCCATTGCCCCGAACAACTTCTCCGGCAACTCATCTTGGAGGTAATTATCCACGTCGATTTGGAGGTAATTATCGCTGACAAAATAATTGCACTTGAGCGCTTTTCCCAGTAAACATTCCCGACGGCGGCTTTTCACAATCCACGGCCCCTTGACTATCCGATTCACGATCTTCAACTGGCTGTTCCGGAAGTTTTGTCTTCGTGGACGAACCCGTAGAGGAGAGAGCCCGGTTGGAGGCCTTCGTCTTCCTTAGTGGCGAAGTAAAATACTGCGCTGTGGTGGGTCCCTTCCGGGGACTTGGAGATTGACAACTATGAGGAAAGTTTTCAGACTCTTTCCTTGAAGATTGGAGCCTGGAGGATTTGAGTAAGTTCATGACTGGTTATCGGGTTCGGGCGAGGACATGGTCCAGCTTGGCGTTGGATAGGAGCCAATCGACGCCAGCGGGTTGGAGAAGCCAGGGGTCGGAGGGTACTTTTGTCCTTTTAGTCAAATAGTTGGGTCCACAGAGAGAGAATAAATCGCCTGGAGGTGAAGCCCAGCCGTTGGATCCAGTGTGGAGATCTACGTGCTTTAAGGATCCGCCGTTGCTGGCTTCTTGTGCTGCGGCAATGGTGGTGGAGCTCCGGTGACTGTGGTGGTGATAATGGTGCTTTTGCTTCTGCTTTGGATGGGAGATTGTTTAAAATATTTATTTGAAATAATTATAATAATTTTATATGATAAGATAGATAAAAAAGTGATTAAAAAGATAAAAAAGTATGTTGAAATTTGTGTTTATAATGTAAATAAATTATTTTTATTCAAATCATTCATATTCAAACAACTTCGGACTTCGAAGTTTTCTTGAGCAAGAAATGAGAAACAATTGGATTTGTTTGGACAAAGATAATTTGGTTTGCAAAATTTATTCTCACAAATCCCAATCACCTTTTTATCTTCCTAATCACTTTTTTATCTCACATACATCACATCACAAAAAGTGCTACAGTAAATATCTCAAATAAATCATCCAAATAAACTCTTATCCAAACAAAAATTTGTTTGGATGGATAGTTATACAGTATGTCGAGAGTGATCTTTACCACAAAAATGGCCTTGTTTGATAGCCAAATTTTTTGTCAAATTTGTTTGCTACAAATTTTTTAAAAACTTTAACTACAGTAACCTCAAAAAAATTTTCAAAAATTTTAAACTATACATTTCAAAATATTAAAAAAAAACACACTTTAAAAATTTTTTAAAAAACTTTTACAGTAAGTTACAATAAAGTTCTGAACAAATATCTAAAAAAACTCACTTGCCAAACGGGATTAGACTGACAAAACCACTTATAAACACAGTCACTTGACACATATGTTAATGTTATTAGTCACCTATGTCTAGAGACATGCCGGTAAACTTGGCCCATGTTTATTTGTGTTTGAAGTTCTTTTTTTTTTGGGTTGTACCTAACAAATTTGTATTAAACTACAGCTTATATTTTAAAGTTGTAACAAATACCTAGTCATATTACATACATTAGGGTTAAAAACTGACAAATTACAAACATAGCTTTGTTTGTCAGATTGATCGAAATTTAGGAGAATTACGAATAAAAAATGTAAAGTTACTGATATTTGTATGGGACATATAGAAGACCAAATTATTATTGTAATTTTACTACTATTTGTATGGTTCATAGAATAACATAAAATTGGATTTGTAATAACCAACCAAACCATATTTGTCAACCACATTCCAAATAAATAAAAGTGTTCTATGAATTGGATTCTGTGAATGACAATGTCAATAAGAGGATATATTAAAACCCTTGAGTGACAATTACTAGTTTGTAAAATCCTTGACCCTTGAGTTTGTATGTATAAAAATCCTTGATTTAATTTATAATGTTTATGAAGGTTATAAATATTAAAAATGGTAAGTTAACCTTATTACGAAGAACTGCAAAATCAGGGGGACTTTGGTCATTATAATAGCAATCCAATTTTTCCTATTTCCCAACCAAACACATCATAGCATTTTTAGAATTTGGTAATTTGAAATTGGGTATTTGGTAACTTGGTACAAAAGCGGTATTTACCAAATTGACCGAAATCTAATATGGTACGAAATAGATAATGAGATTATGAATTTGGTAATAATCGATTTCGAATTCAAATTCGGTAAGATGAAACGGGGTATCATATTCACACATTCGAATATCAAATTGGTTTATGAAATTATATAATATATAGGTAAATACTATTTAGTATTGATATATACTACTAATATATTATTATATTATTATATTATTAATATGGTAAATGCTATTAATAATAGTGAGTACATGGTATTATCATGTACTTATGATGATAAAATATATAAAGATGTACAATATACCATTTTAGTATTTGTTAATTATTATATCACTATAATAATACAAATATACAACAATACATAACATAACTATAATACCTATCATTTTATACATGACTAGAATTAGATAGTAATTAAAAAGTATAGGTTTAATACTAAATATTAAACAATAAACATAATTAGTAACTGAAATTTAGATATTGACAGTTTGGTACATCATTCATGTTTGAATTATTAAATATTTGAATGCATAACTTGTAACTTGCAAGTATCGATGTGCTCTAATATTACATTACATATTTATTAAATATTTGAATGCATAACTTGTAACTTGCAAGTATCGATGTCCTCTAATATTACATTACATATTTAACATGAAAATTCTTATTCTCTATTCACTAATTTTAAGGCTTTAAGCATAGAGAACAAATAAACTAAGCAGTTTAAGTGAACGCATATGAATTGCACATCAACATATTAGTGCGAGTGATTTCACTATTAAAAGCAATTAAGTCACTATTGTAATTTGTAACTAATATTACTTATTATTAATCATTGTAAACTATAAACTTGAAACTTATCACTAATTATTGTATAGTCTAAGGTGTATTGTAGTTTAAATTAATCACTTTTTACTTGTTCCTTAAATCATTGATTAAGGATTCAAGATATAACTAAATGTACGTGATCAAATGAATACCAATTAAACTACAAAATGATTAAAACATGAGTACTGTGTTAAATTATAAATAAAGTTGGGGATCAAACCAACAATAAATTTTAAATAATTGAGGAGCATAATGAATGTATAATAATTTAGAGCCCCAATTCGACAGTGAAATGAATTTAGGTATCTCCAATTCAAATTTGAGAGCGATTTATATTTCAATTGAGTCCAATAACAAAATTTACCGAATTCATATATGGGTTAAATACCAAAAAGCCCCCATGTGGTTTGACTAATGTTCACTTTACCTCCCTATGGTTTGAAAACCTACAATTTGACACTCCCCATCGTTTCAACTAAAGTAAAAGTTTGACGAAAAACATCTAAACTAACATCTAAATGGAAAATGTCAAAATTGCCCCTCTATAAGTCAAACCCTTGGAAGAATGTTTCGTGTATTTGAGAATGGGTAAAATACCAAAAACCCCCCTGTGGTCTGCAAAATGTACACTTTACCTCCCTATGGTTTGAAAACCTACAATTTAATTCCCTGTCGTTTCATCTAAAGTGAAAGTCTGACAGAAATACTATTATTGTAGATGTTTTCTGTTAGACTTTCACTTTAGTTGAAACGACAGAGAATTAAATTGTAGATTTCCAAACCATAGGGAGATAAAGTGAACATTAGTCAAACCACAGGGAGGTTTTGGTATTTAACCCTTCATATATTGAAGAATTACCGCATTTGCACAATTTGCTGACCCCTATGAATGACGTCATCAATAAGGGGATGTATTAAAACCGTTAAGCGACAATTACTAGTTTGTATATATTAAAATCCTTGATTTAATTTATAATGTTAACGAAGGTTATAAATATTAAAAATGGTAAGTTAAGCTTATTAGGAATGCAGGTTATAAGTATTAAAATGGTAAATTAACCTTATTAGGAAGAAATTGCAAAATAAAGGGTTCTTTGATCATTATAATAGCAATCCTATCATACCCGAATTCCCGACCAAACACAATTATAGCATTTTTTTTTGGGATATATCCTATCTACTCCTAAACCAACGAAATATTAGATAACCTGCAATATACAATTCCGAGTATCCCCCATTGTTTTACTAACTTCATTTTGATTTTGACTATTACATAGTATCAATTTCGGCCCTCTAGTTATATTTCTAATGACCATGGTAAGTACGATTTGTCTATTTGATTTTTGGATATCTAATTTTGCTTGTATTCCAATTCAAATTTGAATAACAAAGCCATACTAGAATGGGTTATTATCAAATCAAGTGCTTACACCACTTAAGAGAACAAATAAAACGCAAGTTGCCGGACTTGATCTCTTAACAAATACCAAATGGACACTACAAAGTCCCTAAACCAATACTCATGGCCTATATAGAATGTAAACATGCAAAATATGATAAAACACCACCACCGAGCCTTAACTGCAAACATTAGTCATTCATTGAAGAATGGGAGTCAGCAAATTGCACATGTCTCGAGGCCTTTGCCATCAAATTTTGCTTTCCTTTGTCAAAGTGCAATAACCAGTTCACGCTTTAGTATCAAATGTGTTATTATCCATTGGGTTAAACACATATGAGTAACTATCCATGCTTCAATTAACCTTATCCACTGGGTAAGTATATGCATTTAAATTGCTGCCAATTTCCACATCAAATCGGGTCAGCTTTTTTCAATTCAAATAGGGTGTTAGTGATGGAGACAAATCAACGTGAACAAACAATATAAGCAACCTGTACAAACTCTCCTCAATTTCAGTAATTTCTTATGTGTCATTTTCTCATTGGTTAGTCTTAACTTTACCACAAAAATGTTAGAAACTTCTTAACCATTTTGTAGAAATTGTTGCCTCTTCTTCTTCTTCTTTTGCTTCCACTCCTAAATGGACTTATGATGTTTTCTTGAGCTTTAGGGGTGAAGATGTCCGAAAGAGCTTTGTCTACTTCCTCTACAGTGCTTTACAAAAAAAGGGAATTTACACCTTCAAAGACGATGAAAGCTTGAAAGACAAAGATCCATTTCACTTGCATTACGCCAACCTATTAAAGAGTCAAGAATTGCAGTTATCATTTTCTCAGAAAACTATGCTACTTCTTCATGGTGTCTGGATGAGCTTGCAGAGATCATTGACTGCAACCACAAGTTAGGACAAATTATTCTGCCCGTATTTTACTATGTGGATCCATCTGTAGTGAGAAAACAGAAAGGCAGTTTTGGTAAAGCTTTTGTCAAAGTTGAAGATGAAGTAGAGGACAAGGAACGGGTTCAAAAGTGGAGGGCAGCTCTTGCTGAAGCTTCTTCTACCTCTGGCTGGGATGTTCCCAAAACTGCCAGTGGGTAAAGTCACTAGCTTTGTTCTTTAAAAATTTGAACTAGCATCCCTTCTTTTTTGGCCAGTGGTTGGCTATTTGGTTATGATTTTTTAATTGTAATAAGGCGTTAGATTTTTTTTTTTTGGTTTGGTATTTTTTTCCTCTAGGTCATCGATCCTTTTGTTGGCGAACTTTTTCTAGTTCACTCCTCTCTCAATTTGGTGGTTTTAGGTGAAGTGCTAATGATCTTGGTTAAAAGAAATTAGATCTGAGTTTGACTTGACCAATCCCATGATTCCAATCCTGATACTGATCTGCAAATCAAGCACCGCAGAGGATATATATATATACTAGTTGGGGTGGGCTGTGCTATGCACAACCAGTGCCCATTGGAATGAATTCACTGATAGTAATTGATGAAGCAATAGCTTTTGTAGTAGTTATAGTTATATTTTTCATAGGAAATAATAAGTTGTTTTTGTTGCATTTATTAGTAATTGCATTGTACAGAAGTAAATTCACATTTGTTTCTTTTTGTTTAACTTGTAAATACAAATGTGTATTGTTGGAAAAATATATTGATGTCTATAAACTTTAGAATGTTTTTTGTTTTAATTCTGTTGCATTGGTGATAAGTTAATCAAAGAAAAAGTTACACACCTTGTGATCTCTGTTTTACGAAAATTGCCAGGAAAGAAGTTATGAGAACAAATAAAATGAATAAAAGCTTCTGAGCTTTACACATTTATTCAAAGTAATAATTGATAAATTTATTTTTTGAATTAAACATATTAATATCAAATATTTCTCAATTAATTATTTATTCTTGACTAAAGAGGCAATAAATAATCAGCTATCATGGCTTGATCCCTTACTGTGTATCATGATCTCTTGAATTTTGGATTAAAAATTAATGGATCATAATATAGCTCATAAATACATTTTTCATTTAGGTAAAAGTCTAGAATTGGATTTCAATTTTGTAGTTTCAAAGATATTGACATAATTTAGATTCTACTTAAAATCTCAACAGCAATTTTTCCAAGAATCCAAAGCCAAAAAGGAAAAAAAAATACTATAATGATTGGTTCCATTATATATGCTAAAAACTAATGGAGCTAAGAGCTGCAATCATCCGAATCTGTAAGAAGAAAATTGTTAAAGGAAGTTAGAAGATTAATAAAAGGGAGAAAGAAGAATTAAGCATACAAATTCACCATTTGAGTAAAATAACAGAGTTTAGAAACTGAGCACTTGTTCAATATTAACATCTTTTCTAATTTCCCACTGCCAAGTAATAGAGTAGGCGGTCATAAACTTTCTAGTAGTGCTATATCCTAGACAACTATAAATTGAAATACTGACTGCCCACTGATTAGATTGCTAACTTGCATTTACTCCATCAAGTTCTTTAGGAGAATGCCATCATAAAGGATCCTGAGCATTGATATGAAATTTGGGAACATCTTTTGTGATCTTCATTTGGGATTGCTATCGAAATTTGACCTCCAACCTCAGTAGTGTATGCTTTGATAGTGTTGTTCTTCGCTGTCCTTTTGTCCTTGGATTTTCCAGATTAAAAGCATGGATGAAACAAACCATTGTAACCCCTTCAACATGAGAGGCTAGTTTAGCAAAATGTGTAGCATCCTTAATTTCATTAGTGAACTTTGTTTGAAATATTTAACCAACAATTACATGTTGACAATGCCACTTCCAACTGCGAAGCAATATAACTTTTTATCTAAAACTAAGGCAGCATTCTAAAATTTTAACAGATAAGCAGATACTTTAGATACAAATAACTTATTAAAGCATACAAAGTCATTTTTTTATGGCAGCCTCATTCAAAAACCAAATAGTAGAAATGTATAAGTCACTTATGCCTATGCCATAACTGAGACAGCTTATCTTTTTCAATTATTTCCAACTGACCAAAAGAATGCTCTCATAAGGCTTTAGGATATCTCAAGAGTCAAGATCAAAAGCTCTACGTAAATTTGTAAGGGTAAACTTATGATAAAATGTCATATAAAAGAATTAATCCAATAAGCAAAATTTAAAGCTATAAAACGGATCAAATAAGTTGAACAAAGCCTCATTAATGCTTTAAGGAAAAATACGACTTTTTAGTATAATGTTTCAATCCTTTCCTACAATTGTTCTTCTAAGAGCATTTATCAAGTTGCACTCATCATTATGCAATAACTCATCAAGTTATAGTTCATGGAGTTGAACTTACTTGGTCATCAACTGGCTAGGCGAAGAGCGGTATATGATAACAATTTCTAAGCATATGGACTGAAAATTGCAGCGTGTAAACACCCTGTTACATCATTTACCACAAATCCCAAGCGACACCTATCGTATTTTGCCATTACATGAAGCAAATTAGAAGTTATATTGTGGTAAATGATTTACTAATTCTGGCATTAGAAAAGTAAATAATAACATTTATCTCGCTTCAACTCCAGTTTCTTCCTTGCATGATAGGCATCTAATGGTACATTCTATCTCAATATGGATAGATTTTTGGGTCTTAAGCCAAAAATTCCTGAGAAAAAATCAGCCAAAAATTGACATTTTTAGCAAAACTAAATTGAAACTCAGAAGTCTTAAGTCAACATGTACCAAAGCCATGGTTAAACATGCAAGTTCTATGTCTTTAAAGCAATGGGTGTTATTATAGGGTACTATTAAGTTCAAGCCTTCACCGTAAGAATATAAATTTCAATTTGAATCATAATGAGTTCATAATGACTATCCTTTAATAATGAAATAAGGTTATTAAACAAATTAATGGACAACAGTGGTTCTAGTTATGATTTTAGCAATTTTGCCTCTTAGGCTCTTGTTATCAACAATACATAAACCGTTCTGTTTTGTTACTCCAATAAAACACAATGAACTGGAAATTAACAAAAATTTAAGAGTTTATTTATTTCCTATGATGTTAAGCAGCAGAGGAAAGGAGAAAAATTTACTTAGCAGCAGGGGGTGTAGCATGACCTTTAGCAGTAGAAACCTGGGGCTTCTTCTCTTGAGCTGGCTTCATCTCACTGAAATGAATACAGCACACGGAGAACCCACAAGTCAAGTGAAAATTGTTATCATATACCTCTCATATACAGCACGGACCTGGGGGTTCAAATGAATACATCTCATTGAAAATTGCAGCACGGACTTTTGTGGGTTCTCCGTGTTTTCTCTGCTATCCCAAGTTTCACACAGATATTTTACCAAACACTTGATGGCCATTGTTCTCTGAGATTTCACAAAACCTTGACTTGCTTGAATAGTTGTATTTGCTAGATAAATCATTGCAACCAAAAGAAACAACACAAAAAGAAAAATAAAAAAAAATAGCTCGAATATCAGAACGTCATCTAATAAAAAAAAGAGAAAAAGAAAGAACAAAATGAAGAACATCTGATAAAAAAAAACAAAATGAAGAAAAAAATTCATTGACACATATATTCACATTCAGCAGAAAAAAAAAAGAGCAAATTTTTGTATTGAAGTTAGAATATCATCTAATAAAAACCTAAAAGGCGAAAATAAAATTCAGAACCAAAAGGGAAAAGAAATAAATTCTTACTTTTCCTGCGGCCCTTTCTCCATAACTCTTTCTTGCTGGAGTTCTTTGTTCTTCTCCTCTATTGTACGCAATATCACAAAATGTAACGAAGGAGAAAAAGTGCCAAAAAGTAGACTCAATCTATGAAACAATTGGTGGTTTCCATCGCAATATTTACCACTGATAGGCTAGCCATGTGTATTCTACAGTGGAGAATGAGAAGGATTTGGTGAAAAAAAAGATACGGAGAAAGGGAGAAGCTTACCTGCTTCTTTGCTTTTTCTGACCATGTGCAGGAGCAGTTCAACTGCAATTCTTGATTGTCTGACGTGCACAACCAGAGAGAGGAAAAGACAACCGAATTTTAAAGTTAGTAGCCAACAACTATTTGCAGTAAGTTGATAGATGAAGTAAAACAATGATGTACTTTCAACCACCCTCAGCTACCCTCCATTTGACCAAAAAAAACAAGTACACTGGATTTTCAAAATAATTAAACAACCTTTCATTTACACTCAAATTTATTAAGATCTTGATTTAATGTTTACATGCACAAAGTAGGCCACAAATCAACACTCAAAATAAATATTGTTAAATCTATTACTTGCAAAAAATATATTAGCATGAAATAGTTCTGGATGAATTTTGTAAATTTTAGCTGAAAAAAATAACTATCCATTTTTTTAATACAACATCATCTTGCTAAATCCATATGGTCAGTGGAATAGGGCTAATACAGCAGCTGAATAAATTTCCTACAATGAAAGAAGCAAGGTCGACGGAGGAGAAATAAGCTAAACTTAAGCTCTGGAGCTGCCACGTGGTAATTTGGGAAGAAGCTACAGTAACATGCAACTGGAACTTATATGTAGTTATAGATATACTAGAGGTACTTGAACTGTGCAAAGCACAGTTTGGACCCCCTAAAAATTTAGCCGAATGCATAGCATTAAATTATTTTGCCACATGATGAATGAATAGAAATATAGGAGAAAAATTGAGCATCAAAACAATTAAAATTAACAAATATTATTTGAACTCTCATTTTTGTTAATCATACTTCCGCTATTATTTTTATCATATAGCTTTTGTTTATTGTAGGAATACAATTAACAAAATATGGAGAATAAATAAAATTTCTCTCAAAATTTGTTGTAAAGAGAAATCCCATCTATGAATTCAACTTCCCTATTTATTATGATTTGAATAAAGATTTTTGAACCACTACTATATGATACCCAAAAAGGAGAGAAAATAAATACACTATAAGTGCATTAATGTATTAATAGTAGTATAGTTTTAGTTAAAACTAAATCAAAAGCAGTCGTAATACTTTTAGTACTTTAATAATGAGAAAAAGTTTAGAAAGCTGCTAAAACATGGTACAATATTCAACATCAATATAGCTTACTATAAACTTTCATATTTTTCTTTCTTTTGATAGAAGAATCCAGTTTATCTATTTAAATTCCGCCTAAAGGTGACAACATTATCCTGCAGCTCCAGAATATAAATAGCAAGATTAGATAAAAATATGAATTGCTATGTTTCGTGATCTACATATACAAATTAGAATTGAACAATTTTTTATTGCAAAACCATCTTCCTAATCAAAATTGAATTTTCAAACAAGTTTTTGTCAAGTCACACTTTAGGCCGAAAGCCTCAATTGTGACTTCCACCCCCGACTGCAATCCTTGTATACCAACCCAATTGATACTACAACACTTGAGTACTTAAAAAACAAACAAAAATTAACTTTAGTTTAAATATATACAAAATCTTATTGGATCCTTCAATTAAATTGAATAGGCCATAAAGTAATTGCAAAAAGAAAGAAATGGAGAAAAACGGAGGTACAAGAATGCCTAACTAGATTTGTCTTGGTGGAAACATCACATAATATATCTTTCTCCTTAAAAAATACACAAAATTGTAGATAATTACAAAATGGAACCAAAAAAACAAAGAAAAGGAAACAAAATGTGAAGTCAGAAATCAAATCATGGGAGGAGAAAATAAAAGAATGAATTTTTGTTCTATTATTCACAGAAAATGATCATTGGTACAAAATGAATTCTAAGATATTTTAATATTTTACCTTTTATCCATGAAGAACTACCAAATAAGAACATCATCCTATAAATTTAACAAACAAATACCAGTTGGCTATAACATTATGATCAAAAAATAGAGCAAACATGAGAGATTAGAGATGAAGAAAAAAGGAAGAAAAGAAAATGTAAAATGGGATAAAAATAATAAAGAATTCTTTTTGCTAAGCAGCTATCATCTTGACAAAAAAAAAAAAACATGGCAACAATCTTAGTTAGATTAGTTTTAAAAAATAAAAAAGGTGAGGGATGACAGTAGTTACTGCAAGAAGAAAAAGAATAGCTGGAGTTGATTTTCTCAAGAAGAAAAAAAATTTTAATCCTTTAGCCCAATTGAATCAAAAAAGGGAAGGAAAAATTTAGGTAAAATAATCAAAGGTCCACTTGTCAAAATATACGCAATACATGTGTCAAAAAGATGGTTAGCTATAGTAACTTAGATTTCTTTTTATACACAAGGTAGATATAGTAGATCTTCTATCTTGACCCATCAAGTTAGAACTTGGGAAATAAAAAATAGCAAAAAGTATCACAACTTTCTCAAAGAAGAGTTATGCTACCTGTTAAAAAATATAAATGCTACAATAAACACCCATGCCTTCTTATTTAATTGGTAAAAAAAAAAAGTAAAAAGAAAAAGGGAAATGTAAAGATAGCTTCTTCAAAGGATGAACGTGCCATGTGTCAAAGCAGAGGGGAGCCACTTGGTAGTCATTGGAGCTACTACAGTAACTTCACGTCTTTCTTATATAACTAGTTTTGTACCCATGCGTTGAACGGGAATCATCGAAAAATAATAAACTATTTAGTTAATTTTATAAAAATGTCTATATAAAATAAAAATTTAATGTATAATCTATTATAACTTATCTTAAATATATTACTATGTGCGCATTGTAATACAAAGTATTCTTATAATATAAATTTTAACATTTAATTCAGTGAATAATAATTTAAAAATAGAAAAAATATTATTCAACAATACCATAACATTAAAAAACTTGAAAATGAATAAAAAGTGCAGTAAATAGTGTCAAATAATATTCTATTCTTCATAAACTTGTTTTTGTTTTTCTTCTATTTAAATATTCTCCTCGATATGTCCGTGTAAATCAGCATTTATTGATTTTCCATTATCACTGCATGATAGCAAAGCAGGATAACTAAGTACTGGAAAAAAATGATTTATCGCATTCAAAGTTGTGTATAACAATTCCCTGCGCACTATAATTTAAGAAAGTAAAATAGTATATTAAATCTACCTTCTCAAGCAAATATTTTTATGAGGATTCCCTTCTTCTGGGATTTTTGTTGAACTCTCTGATGAATGATTCATATGAAGTGTATTGAAATGTTGTTGATTAGAATCATCTGTTATACTAATTGGGATCTAGGAAGAAAATGCTTCAGGTTGGTATTGGTTGTCGGTTCCACCAATCTGATAATGATTTATCAAAATTAAAGACAAAAATATTATGTGAGATTTAATATGTGAAATATAAGAGAAATTCATTGCACATTACCTGTGAAAGCATGAAATGCGTTTCCCTCTCGAAATTACAGTAGAACCATGTAGTCACTGTAAATCTATTACTACCTTGTTCCAGATTGTAATTGTTCAATTTGGAACACAAAAGATTTCCACGTGATCTTATTTATAATTGATGGCACGATTTCGCTGCTAAATCCTTCCTAAAAATGAAATGCATAATAGATTTTTTTTGTTAGAATATTCAACGGCTAAAATAAGTGTCAGATTGTCTACTATTATTAAAAGAGTAAGGTGGCATTTGGTTCGCACATCGGAATCGGATTCGGATTTGGAATCGGATATCTTGGGTTTGGAATGAGCTCATTCATTCCAATACATCTGTTTGGTTCAAGTATCTGGAATGTGTATCATTACTATAGTTGATGTTTGGTTCGTCGGCTTTTTCGGAATGGAATATAATAAATATATTATAAACTACATCGTAAATGATAGTCATTGGCACTTTGTAAATGGGATATAAGAAATTTTCACTAACTAAATATATTAGTATAAATGTATTAGTAAATTTAGTATAACTAATTAATAATTTTTATTAGTAAATATGTATAATTATTACTATAATTGATAATATATATAATATTAAATAAATTAATATACATTATATAATACATATAACTAATAATAATATTATTATAAGTTTGTAACTAATTAAATTAAATATTATATATATAATTAAATATAAATATATAAATATTATAATATAAATATATAATTATAATTATATAATATATAAATATTAATTGTACTAATATTTTATATAAATATAATGCATATTAATATTAAATATAGTTATTATTATATATTATTATATTTAAAATAATAAATATAAATATAATTATATAATTTATTAATATTATATACATGTATGTATTATAATTATATGCACATATAATATACATTTATAAATATACATATATACATATTATAAATATATTATTATGTAATATTAATAAATTTATAATATATATTATATAAATGTAATTATATTTAACTAAATAATTATAATGTATAATGTAATACTATAATAATATCATTATTATAAGTTTGTCACTAATTAAATTAAATATTATATATATAATTAATTATAATTATAAAAATGTTATAATATAAATATATAATTATAATTATATAATATATAAATATTAATTGTACTAATATTTTATATAAATATAATGCATATTAATATTAAATATAGTTATTATTATATATTATTATATTTAAAATAATAAATATAAATATAATTATATAATTTATTAATATTATATACATGTATGTATTATAATTATATGCACATATAATATACATTTATAAATATACATATATACATATTATAAATATATTATTATATAATATTAATAAATTTATAATATATATTATATAAATGTAATTATATTTAACTAAATAATTATAATGTATAATGTAATACTATAATAATATCATTATTATAAGTTTGTAACTAATTAAATTAAATATTATATATATAATTAATTATAATTATAAAAATGTTATAATATAAATATATAATTATAATTATATAATATATAAATATTAATTGTACTAATATTTTATATAAATATAATGCATATTAATATTAAATATAGTTATTATTATATATTATTATATTTAAAATAATAAATATAATTATAAT